GTTCAGCTCTTTACAAGATGAGGTAGTGTAGCTGTAGCTCCACCAAGCTCTCCTCTAGGTGTAGATGTCCACTTCTATCTCCAGCCCCTTTTTTTCAGGTCAAGCTCCACTGGCACCACCCGAGAGTCCTCTCCAGCCCAGCAAGGGGATGATGTCAGAGTCCAGATTTATAGCTAACGCGCAAACTCTGCTAGAGGAGTAAAAAAGCTAAATTAATCCATATGTCTTTCTCTAGTCTCTTGAGTTTCAAAGCCTCCCTGTCCCCGTTCGCTTCTCTGTAAGCATCTTACCATGCTTCCTTGCTGAGGAGGCTGTGAGATGGGATGATTTTTGTGTTCTCTTTTTTTCCTCCAGTGACAGCAGCAACTCACAATTTTCACATCTGAATTTTTCACTGGAAGGTTTCTTTTCTTTTTTTTCCCCCCCTCCTTTTTTAGCCACAGCTCAATTGGGTGTAGATGAGGCAGGAAGATTTCTGCTTTTAAGAGACAGCCGTCTCTGTGGAGACCCACACTCAAGACATGATCCAAAAAGAGCCTATTGCTTGCTAGAAAACTAGACGAGTGAAGAGAGGCTGAATAAATACTATTAATTCTCTTTTTTTCCTCCACTGGCAAGCTTGCATGTAATATCAGTTATTGACTGTGAATCTCACTGGATCATTTCGAGCAGCATGTGCCATGGAGCTGTAGCGATCTGATTGCTCAGCCTTGGGCTGACTGCGGGAGCACACATTGAAGCAGAACCAAATTAGGGCTTTGTTTACCCTTTCTTAAAATTCCTCTGCTTCAGTGGGGACTGGGGAAACCATTCCATTCTCTTTTTTTCTGGTGAAGGCCAGGACAAGGGTTAAGTCAGTTGGGTTATAAATGCATGGGTCTTAGGTCACTAATGTATGTTTTTCCCCTCCACGCAGAAGTATGGCATAATGAGCAGTTTGGGATGCAGAGGTGGTGGCAGACTGAGGGTGCTGTCAACCCAACCGATGAGAGTGTCAGTGTATCAGTGCGATTGTGGTCCAGCATGCTTGACTGGAATAAGATGACTTAAGCAGGCCTGTACTCAGCAGGAGTTTGTGAGAGAAGCCAGCCTGCACCTGGCTTTATCTAACTCTCTTATTCCTCCGGCACTAGGAATTTTTGAAAATTACACTTAAAAAAAGGAAATCCGTCCATAAGCAATTAGCAGTCATGGAGGGAGGAAGTGAAGGAGGGAGGGCAAATCCATCTCCTGCAACCTTTCTGTGCAGTTGGGTAAATAAGCCAAGCATTAGCACTGTGCCCGGCTTCTCGCTGTTTCCCAGGCAGGTGCGTTGTGAGATGTTTGCAAGGATATTAACCCCACATACAGAGTGTGCCAGTTGGTAATTATGGAAATTAGTTGGCAATTAGATAATGTCACCCACTCTCCGCATACAGCTGATAAGCAGTTGAGAGCCACTCCAAAGTGAGGGTGAGACCCCCTCCTGGGGCTGCTAAGCAGATGGCTCTGACCTCCTGGCATTAATAGGCTGCGCTCAAGTTTAGGAAGGTGGATGGTAGTCGGTAGCACTTCACCATGGCAGTGCTGCCTCCCTTCTCCCTGCTCGGGAAGCTGTGCAGCTCTCTCAGCCCAGTGAGTGGGAAGATTGAATAGTGAAAGTGGGTGTGTTTCCTGCAGTGGGCTTTGCGTGTGTGAAAAGCTGAGCCGTCTGTTCAGCGTGCAGGGTCTTCGTTGTCTCAGCTCTTTCTGTGGGCCAGGGAGGCGATGCAGGCTGCTCGGGCTGCAGTGGAGATAATTTGCTGGCTACCTCATTTCTTCAGGGTAGCAAGTTCTTAAAATGCTCTGCAAAGACTTTCCTAGTGGTCTATTAAAGGGCTGATCACGTGGGACTAGCTGTCTTGTTTCATGCTGCTAAATCACTTTGAGGTTAAAAATAGAACATGGAAAATATTTGTTATATTGCTTTTGCATGTGAGCAATAGGTAGAATTGGAACAGGGATGTTGCGACTTCGTGACTAGGAGAAGCGATGTCCGTCATGAAGTCTTTTTCTGTCAGATATGTTCATGCTGTGAGCAAGTTTGAGATATCTCCGAGATAATACATATAAGAAAATAGTATGGGATTGTATAGTTATTGTCCCAAACTGTAATGCATTGCTATGGTAGCAGTGTGCTGTGTGAGGCTGCTAGGGTAGTACTTATTCTAAAAATAAAATGGTAAGAGCAGAAAATTATTCGTTCTCCGTGTGTCTTGGAGGATCATTGCAGGAAACGGGTAAGGCACAGATTTACTGTCTCGGGAATTAGGCTCTCAAGGTTCAGATTCAAATCCTGGCCAATGCTTAGTGGACACTGTCTTCTGAGTTTTCCTCTCAGGCCCTACTGTTGTGTGGTAAGGTTTGCTAGTGCTGGCTGAGCTGCACAAGATGCAAAACTCAAATAGCAGGAGATACTATGGGTCAGAAGTGAGAGGCACTTGCAGAGCCCTGGAAAAGCCTTGGACAGCCCTAGGCTCCTGGTGGCAGGGTGCAGGCCAGCCTTCCCAACACCTGGTCTGGAATGTCCAAAAGAAAATGAAGCATCCAGAAATGACACCTCTATGTTATGATTTTTGTGCCCTCTTCCTCTATTGAAACAGAACCCTGACCCTGAAGACCCACAGAGATGGAGATTTCTTCTCATATGTGAAACAGGGTGTCGGCAACCTGGAGTTGGAAGAGATCTGGCTGTTTGGACAGGCGCTTGGGCTGTACATGGACATACACATCTCATCTGTGACTGTCTATAGGATGTCCACACCTAGTGCTATTACTTAAAGTCTTTCATTGGTTCTTAAAGAGTTCGCTTTTTAAAACAGGGCGAGAAGAGTCACAAGGCTGAGGGCTGCCTCTCATGCAAATGGTTTAGCCCGCCTTGCCCAGGAGAATCCAAAGCTGCAGTGCAGGGTCTCCATGGGTGCCTGCAGCCCTGCTGGGCTCACTCTCTCCCTAGCTCAGGCGATGGCAGGGCTATCTGACCTAGCAGTGAATTTTGCTGCAGTGGTGGTAAATGTTCCAGGGAGCCATGAGCTGCTGGGTGCACACTGCTGGCTAATTTACACACATTATTATATTCCTATTCCCATCTCATCAATAATTCCAGGCTTGGGTCATCGCTTTCTCTCTTCCCTCCCTCTCACTCTATTCTCCTTCTCCATAAATCATGGGCTATTTTAGTGGAGCCACCAGGGAGCACAGAGGAGAAAGGTAAACGGACAAGAGCCATGTACTTCTTCCTCCACTTGATTTTTCAAGGCTCTAACATCCTCCCCTACCCCCTGGCCTGACTGAGCCAGCATCCTGATTATTGGGAAGACAGACTATTTGAGCATTTGGATCCTTTTTTTTTTTTTGCCCTTTTTTTTTTGTTTTTTGCTTTACACCTCTCCTAACACTTCCTTTTTTTTTTTTTCCTCCTTCCATTCTCCTGAGCCAAGCTGTTAACAATTAAAAGGAATTATCTTCCCTCTGGTTTTGACTTGATTGTATTTGTGTTTATAGCAGTTTAGCTAACAAGCTCCAGTCAGGCAGCTGCAGGAAACGGGCCTGGCTTCCACTGGGCATTGAAAGCTCGTGTTTCTCTAGCTTGCGGGTTCTCTTTTAATTGATCTATTTTGTTTTCTAAGTGACTTGTTTTTAGTGCTGACTGAATTTGCCAGATTGACAGCCCTGGAGGCTTATGACTTCTACAGGTCCCTGGGGCAGGTACGGCTGGGGCTATGGCCGTCTCCCTCCCTTGCTTGGTGATTCTTCTCCAGCTTAACCTCTGCCCTGGCCAGGCAGTAACTTTCCTGACACTGCCCATCTCTGCAGTGTTTGTGGGCAGGCACCCACTAGGAGCATCAGCTGTCATCATCCACATCACAAAACGCTCATCTCAAGTGAATATTTTATCCCAATACTGGTGACATGATTTGTGAAATATGTGCTTGAACTGGCAGCTGGGAGGCCTAAGGCTGAATCTTGATTCTTGTCGCCTCCTTTCCTGCTTTGTATCTGTGCTAGTGTTGGCTATCCCCAGAGCTGACCCCTTGCCCAACTCATAGTTGTGAACAAGCGCCTATGTTAGTGGAGAACTTCTGAACTTTTTCTTTCTTTTTTTTTTTTTAACAGGATTTTCAAAGAACAAGCCCAGTTTTGTACTGTCTTTACTTGTCATCTTAAAACATCCTCCTACCGCAGGCGTACAGTTGCCTACATGCAAATAGTTAGAAGTGAGTTAAATCTTAGTGCGAGGAGGTGCAACTGTTGCTCACTGAAGGCTCACTGAATTGCTCACTCTTACTGAGCAGTGAACTTGGCCTGTTAGCCAAACCATTAGATCAGGGGAAGTGGTAAGTGCTTAGGCACTTCTTATCATCCAAGCTACAAGTTGCCATATATAATTTGTATAGCAACTATTTTCAGGCTGTAAGGGTCCCTGTTAGACCCTCTGAAGTATGCAAGAAGTCAAATAAAAGGAGCATGACAGGCTGCTGGTAGGGATGTCTTCTCTAACGCCTGCTTGGTGTGCTAGGAAGCATAATGAAAGTAGAGGAATGGGAAGTTTGGATAATGTGCTTCCTTATTCTGCATAATTCTTGTGCTCTAAGGAATTCTGGCCTTTGTCCTATGTATTTTCACTGAGAGGTAGTTGTTACTGGGGAAGCTTCAGCACCATTTTTCTTAATATAGTTGATGGGATTGCTTTCGTAAAAGGAGTTAAATAATGAGGTGTATTTTTTACATTGCTCAGTGTTGCAGTGTGTACAGGTCACGTGGTGAGGTCTCTCTCTGGCCCTTCTAGTTCTGATGACATAAATGGTCCCTGCTGTTTTGGAGGACTATATGGCCACCTGCATGCATGAAGAAGTGGGCGGTGAATCAAGACATGTAAACAAGTTACTGGATAAGATATTAATAAGCTTCATAGTAAAGATATGGTGAGTAATGGAGCTAACTTTTTCCTTTCTTGTCTTCTCTTGACCCCACAGGTCCAGCAAGCTCTGTGAGTGCCAAACAGTGAGTTATGGTCTGGATTGCTACCCGTGCATCATGAAGATTGACTTTATTTTTACTCTTCTAAGGATCACGTGCTTTATGAATTCACTTTCTCCTCCACCTCACTGCCACCTCCATCAATATTGTTATCACTTCTAGGAAACCAGAACTTGAGGCTTGGCCTTCAACTCAGCCTTTCCTCTCTCCTTGGAACAACCAGTGTCACCTTTGTGTTCTACCAAAAAAATCACTGTGGGTTATTTTGCCCTTCGCAAAAGTACACTGCCTGGAGAAATCACTTCACATACCCTTTTCTTCTGGAATAAAGGCCTCCAGATCCTAAAGAACAGCTGAAATCTTTACTTGGAGAGGAGACGTTTCCTCTCAGTCACATGCACTTGCTGTCTCTCTTTCCACCTACTCTTCCTCTCTCTCTGTCTCTCTTTCTGCTTTCCTTCTCCTGTGGGATTTATCAGATTTGGTGTTGACTGCTGGGGTTCTCCTCCCAGTATTGTGGCTTTTATTTTTCTCCTAGGGAAGAGGAGGTTCTTGAAACAATGGGCTTCACCCTCCACTCTGTCTACTTCACCTTGAAGGTGAGTTTGCTGTTGGGCTCCTTGCTGGGTCTCTGCTTGGGTCTGGAGTTCATGGGCATCCCCAACCAGTGGGCCCGCTACCTCCGCTGGGATGCCAGCACCAGGAGCGAACTCAGCTTCCAGTTCAAGACCAATGTCTCAGCTGGGCTGCTTCTCTACTTCGATGACGGTGGTGTCTGCGACTTCCTTTGTCTGTCCCTTGTTGATGGGCGCATCCAGCTCCAGTTTAGTGTGGACTGTGCTGAGACTACAGTTATCACAGACAAGCAGGTCAATGACAGCAATTGGCACTTCCTGATGGTCAGCCGCAATCACCTTCGGACGGTGCTAGTGCTGGATGGTGAAGCCAAGCCTGGTGAGGTGCGTCCACAGCGCCAGTATATGAACATTGTCAGCGACCTTTTTGTGGGTGGAGTCCCGCTGGACATCCGTCCTGCTGCCTTGACCCTCGATGGTGTTCTGAGTGAGCCTCCATTTCAAGGATTTATCCTGGATCTGAAATATGGCAACTCTGAGCCACAGCTCCTGGGCAGTCAAGGGGTTCGGCTGGACGTGGAAGGGCTCTGTGCAGAAAACCCCTGTGAAAATGGTGGCACGTGCTTTCTTCTGGACGGCGAGCCACACTGTGACTGCTCAGCCACTGGATATGCTGGCAAACTCTGTTCTGAAGGTAAGAGTACTTCCCTGCTCCCCACTGATGCTTATACAACCCAAAGTGTTAGTTTGTCACTTAGCAAGCCTATGAGAGAGTTCTTATCCCTGCTGGTGGTTATCAGAGGAATTAAAATTCCACCTTCCTTTTCCCAGCTGGAGATAATGAAATAGGAATATAAACTTGCACTTGCAAAAAGTGACTTTCTGAAGGCCTGCTGCATATATAGCGTGGACAAATTTTTGTCAGCAACTTATTGAAAAGGGTGGAGAGTATAAAGTGGTAAATACAGGAATACTGGGTGTTGGTAAAAGCATTGGTAAGAAATCGTCTTAGCTCTATCTGGGTGAATTCTACTATTATTTGCCTCAAAAACCTAGTGAAGTGTAGGTAAATGCGAGCCATGTGTAAGTGGCAAACCCAGCTGATTGGAAGGGCGTTGCAAAGTTAAGCCACCTTTGTTGTGAGCTATTGCTAGTCCATGGAAGCCCTGTGCCCCTCTCAGTTGCATGCACAGTAATTGCTGAATGGCACTTGGATTGTTTTAGCTTTCTTGATTAAATTGGTTTGAGACCTCCTGAAAGATTTTGCTTTGTACTGCAAAAGGAAGACAGATTTGTATGTTTCTACACTGTTTCATACTTCCTTTTAAAATTTCAGTCCAAAAGTTTTAAATAATGTAAACCACATGATGAGGTATATTTCAGGGTTTTCTCCTTGATCTCTAGCAATGGCATGGTAATTAACTGTGCATGCGCAAGAGACTTAAACTTAAGTTCACTGGAAATCACAGCGCGAATCTGAGAATCTCAGCACAGCATTTTTTATGATGTTTGGGTTTAAACACAACCAAAGTGGAACCTGAAGAAGAAATGTCCAATTTCTCTCTTTCTGTGTGTCTATCTCAACATCTTTCTATATGTTTATTTTAATGTGGTATTAATGATAACAGAAAATTTGGCTTCATATGCAGATGTTACAGTAACAATGCATGATCACTGTACATAGTTCATTATTCTTGACTAAAATAGCCATCTTGCAAACAAGACTAATATGCCTGCTGGGATGACATCGAGTGTATGTGCTATGGAGACCTATAGTGCATGGAGAAATAACTCCGTAATGCTACAGGTTTTCAGCTATGGTAATAAAATTTGAAGTATTTATTAATTAAAACTTTAAAGATTTGAAGTGCAACAATAAAATCACTTTCAGATGATTTCAGGATTCTTTTTCCTCCCCGTTTTTCTCCAAATTTCCAATTCTTTCTAACTAGATTTTAGAGGAAAAAAGGGAAGAAAGCAGAGTTTGTTCCAGCAGATTTCTCTTTTCCTTTTTCTGGATCCATGCATCTTTAGACTCCAAGAGGACGTCTTACATATAATCTATCCAGAAATTTCTGTAGACTCTGAGGTGTGATATCCTCCATTCCATCCTCTTCAAGCAGCGTCTGGGCAGAGTGATAAAGTCCTAATAGGGAAGTTGCATCAGAAAGGAGGTATGAGCCTGAGAGGTGCTGAATACCAAAACTCTTCCTGACTTTTTGCTCAGCACCCATCAGGTCCAAACCAATAACGAGTAAGAACGATTTTCTGTACTTGAACCCTAACGGATCTGGAGCTCGAGAGACTGCTGGGCATGGGTGAGCAGTTTGTAGCGTGGCCGCTGGGCCTGCTCCTCGTACCCTTGCAGAACAAAGACACCTCATGCCTAAATTAAAGTTTTGGGTGATGGAAGATTGCAAGAGCCACCCACACATGGACCTTGAAATATAAAGAAACACACCACTTTCTGCTGCTGGGTTAAAGGATCCAGACTCCACAGGGAGCTGCTCAAGACATCAACAGCATATGGTTTTCAGCAAATGTCTTGAAAAAATACTGTGAGCAAGGCTTCCATATACCTGTGGGACAGCTATAGGCAGGGCTTGAGTGGTGGAATTTCTTTATTTCCTGGGTAGGTGGAGCAATATGAAATGCATCTTCTAATAAAGCCAGGGATATTTCTGTTGTAGCCATCACGGATCAAGCAGTGCTATTGTTACCTTCTGAAGTCATGCGTCACCATTGCTGTTTGTTTCCTATAGTGATTCATCAGTTTCCAGCCCAACCTTCTATTCAGGGTGAGCAGAGAAGTTTGTCATGATGTACCTTTTTTAATAAACGTTTTAAACTCATTGTTAGTTGTGGTCTGTTTACTCACACATAATGATGCTGTGCAGAGAACTTTTTTGTTGGAACAAATGGAGAGATTTCCACAAACACTTAAATAGTCCAGTTCTTCTCTTTTCTTTCCTGTTATTTCATGATGCATATTTGGTTTATGTTAGAATTTTATAATCAACTTTGTTTTCTCCTCCTTTTATTCTGTGAAAGTGGTGACTTCTATGCACTGTATGATACCACCCAAAAATGTTGCAGTGTCTCTGAGGATTCAGAAAAGAAGGGGAAAAAGAGAAGAAAAGCTCTTTAGTAAGTGGAAACATGCACAAAAAGAGAAGTGGCAAAGAAACAAAACAGGAAAGCAGAGAAATACAGCTACCTTTTTATCTGACTTTAAAAACTTAGCAAACTCAAAGTTTCTTTCAATAGTCTGGATGTGACAAAACCTCTGCTGATGGACAGTAGGATGCGATGGGAATGGCAGGGATGGGTGCGAGCTCTTCCTACCTGTGGCTTGATCATCTGTTAACCAGCTTGTATTATCTTTGTTTGTTTTCTCTCTGGGAGAGTGAAATGTTTGTTGTAAGAACTGTTCCTATTTGTTTCATTTTCTTACCTGTATTTGCGTATTTGCAGAAATGTTGCTCAGTGTGGTTATTTTATTCCCAGTCTGATTTTTCAAAGGGACATGGCCTTTCAACTGGTATCAGCAACTCCCTTTTGTGGATCCTTAGCCCTTTTACACAATTTCCATGTCTTTATTCTGTATGTGTATTTTCAGTTGGTCACTGGCATTGGCTCTTTTACTAGGAACTGATGGGATCTAATCAATAACAACTTCTGTTTGAACAGCTAAATGCAATATGTACCTTTTTAATAATGAGTTCTCTTGACAGGGGCCAGGCCATTACTTAGCTATTGACTGAGACCTACGTCTGCAGATGGTAAAACCACAACAAACTCATTTATTCTGTGGCCAGAGAAATAAAAAATAAATAGAGAGTGGAACCTGCTGATCGTGAACTGTGACGGAATGAAGCTCCATTTACAGTATTAGGGGTTATTATAATGCAAAGTGCAGTTCCAGTTATAGTGAATCTCGGCAGAGAACAAACCTTTCTGTAGTGAGGCAAAACTATAAATCCTGGGCAGAACATGCCCTGATGTGCAAAAAGCTTTTTGGCAGTTAATATGCACGCAGAGTTACCAAGACTGTGTAGGTCATGGTAGCTATATGCTCAGATGAGTAGCTGAGCTGGTCATTACTGATCACTGATAAATGGTTTATTTGTCTGAGCGTATACAATGGGTGTGCAAAAGTGTGCCTACTTTGGAAGATCTGGCTCTTTTGAATAAAATGTGATACTATTTTCATTGCTGTTGGAGTAAATTGGTTCATTGAATTTGACAGCTCTGTAGGGTACAAAGGATGGCTGATTTGAGTAGCAATTAATTTGTATGTTTCTGGGCAATAGTGGCATTAGACATGAAAGCTGAAGTCAGAGACACCTTCCCCTCCAATAAAGCTCACAAGTCACTGTGGGATCAGGCTGCTGCCAAGCAAACGAGGCTCCTGTAGAATTTGAGCATCACAGATAGATACGTTCATGTTACTGGAAAAAAAAAAAAACAAAAAACTTCCCCTGCTAATGTTGCAAACAGTGCTGCTCTAACAGCCTGGCTGGCCAGATGCGCATGTTCATAACAGCCCCTTCAGGATCATGCTGTCTTCCTTAGTCTGCCAGAAATTCTCTCTTCCTCCAATGCCAAGGTGTAGAGAGCGAGTTCAGTCATATGGACAGTCTGAGTGCAGAGTCATACGCACAAGAATATCTTGGCCTAAGACCTTGCCCTTCTCCTTAGGCCTCGTCTGGACTTTGTGGGTGAAGGTGAACCGCAGACGTGCTCAGAAATGACATGTAACTCTGCTTGTAGTTGCAGAACCAAGACGTTGATGTGATCACCAGCTTCACAAAGCATCATGCTGAAGCCTTTGTGTTGCCTGCAGGGGCTGTTTCTAAACGAAGCCTGAATAGGGGCCTGATTGCACCTCTTCCCTTGATTACAGAGCAAGATTTCCTGGGGATGCTGCCTGCTGAATGACAGAGAAGCCCATTGCTCTGTAATTATAACACTTTTAACTGCAGCAGGAACAGATTTTTCTATAGCCCCTCAGTTTCGTTTAAAGAGACAAGTTACTGCAGGATTTATCCTCTACCTGCCCCTTTGGAACAGCCCAATTTTCCTATTTTGACTATATATAAAAAGGACTCCTTACCCTTCCTTAGGATTACAGGATATCCCTGCCAGCCACTCCAAACTTTGTAACACTAAGGGCTAATTTGGCACTTTGCCATAAGCCTGATGGCTGCACTTAATTTGCATATGCATTTACATACATTTTGTAATCAGAAACAAATGAACATGACCATAATATTTGCTTTCACTTGTATATTCCTTGATAGATGAATATAAATTGGTTGTTGTTGAATTCACCAGCAGTAAACTGCTGCAGACCCTCTACTTGGTCTTTTGCTCTGCTGTAACAGAGGACAGCAGGCAGCTCTGGGATACCCTGTGATTTTCACTCACCAGTGCAGAACTGATAGTGGCCAACAGCTGTGGAGTAAATATTGCAAGAGGGAAGTCTGACTGTCTTATGGCACTTCTTATGCTCTGGCTCTAGCCATTGAGCAGAAGGCTGGTATGAACCCTGCTCGTGGCTTAGTTTTGCCATTGCCTTTTTCCAGAATTTTGGTTTTCCCCTTGTCTTTCTTGTGCTCATTCTTCCTGGATTAAGTTTCTTTGGATCCATTTAAAATAGTAATTATTTTCCAGTCTGGTTGTAATTTTTTG